TCACCTCCTGCTCAATCGCCACCCCGACATTAACCGCGGCCTGCACGAGCTCGACGCATCCATCCGTGTTCCCCACCATCACCAACCCCATCATCTTGTGCATGACAATCACCGCCATCTTCTCGGCGGGCAACAAGTCGATGTGCGGCGCGTACGCCGCCTTGTTCTTCTTCGTGCGCTGCATCCTCTGCTCCCTCCCTATCGCCTCCTTCAGCGGGTCGAACCACCCCAAGAACAGCGCCTTCACGCGCGGCAGGTTCGGCGCCAGCTTCCGGTCCCTCATCTCCCTCTCCAGCTCCCTATACTCCTCCACCATCTTCTCCCACGCCTCCGTCTCCGCCCTAACCTGCCGCCTCCTCAACGAATTATACTTCCTCCGGTCCATCTCCTTCAGCTCCAGCTCCGCCTCCCGCCTCGCCTTCCGGTACACGTTCTTGAAGAATATCGGGTATATCCAGGGCGGGTCCTGGATGAATATCCTCGGGCGGGTTTCTTGGTCGGCGACCTGCTCGACCGGAGCCGGGAAGTCGGCGGCGGGGGGCTTGTGGAGGACCTCGAGGTAGCCGTCGTGCACGGTGTCCCTCGGCGGGTGGAGGTGGGTCGGAGACGGCGGGGGCTTGAGGTTGAGCGAGGACGGGAAAGGGAATGGGAATGGGAAAGGGAAGGAGCGGGAGAGCTTGAAGAGAGAGATGGAGGGCTGGTTGGAGAGGTAATGGAGGGTTCGGCGAGATGGGTTTCTGGGTTTCGAGCTGCGGAGTCGAGTTGCGGCGGACGGCGGAGAGAAGGAGGAAGGAGTGGAGGCGGAAGCCATTGTCGCCGGCCGGCGGCGGAGGAAGATAAGCCTGCGAGGCTTCTTGGACGAAAGCGCCGCGCGCAGAGCAAGAGGAAGGAGGAGGAGGAGGAAGAGCAAACCTCCCTTAAACCTTCAGAAAATGTTGTGGTCCAAAAAAACAAATAATAATAATAATAATAATGAGCTTCGGACAAATAAAAGATATTTTTGAAAAAAATCTTTGATCTCGTATGGAAAAATACGGGACCCAAAAAATAATTTGTGTCGAATTCAAAAGGTCATTTATGAATAATTTTCATATTTATATATATTTAGAATACAAAAGTAATTTATTTTGCGAGTATAAATTTCGTTGTTGCATTTATGATGCAGTATGATATGTTACGAAGATTATGATTTCTTTCATATTTACTAAAAATAAGTACAAGTGCCATGTCAAGAATCAACGCGACACTGCATATGCCAATTACAAGGTTTCGAATTCCAATCAATCAACAAATATTAACTAATCTTTTTCAAGATGATAGCCATAATTAATTTATTACCTAAAAAAATCGCCAAGGATGCATTTATTTCAAGGAAAACTCAATAGTAAAATAAAATAATTTTTCAAAAAGTATTTTCCAAAAATACTTTTGGTTTTCCTTTGTTTGGGAAATCATTTTTTAATATTTGAATTTCATTGAAAAATAATTTGAATCTCCTGATTTTATTTCTGGTAAAAAATAATTCAATTTTTTAAATAATTTTCTTGTTATTTTAAAAAAATCAAAGTTTTAATTAGTTTTATTTTTCTTTTCTTTTTTTAAAAAATCGAATTTTTAATTATCATTTCTTTTTCTTTTTATTCCTTTTCTTTTTCCTCCTTCCTCCGCCACGACCGGCCAGCGACCGCCATAGGCAAGCTCGAGGCTTGCCCGATGATGGCCACAGGTGAGCTCAACGAAGTTCAAGCTCGCATCGACCAAGCCTCAAGTAATGTTTTCTAAAAGAAGCACTTCGCTTCAATCATACTTGAGGTCAAGTAATGTTTTCTAAAAGAAGCACTTCGCTTCAATCATACTTAGGGGTGTCAAAACCAAACACAATACCCAAATCGAAACACGAACCGACCCGACCCGAACACGAAATTTTCTTACTGAGTCGGGTTGGATCTCAACTTGTTTGGGTAACAATAAAAAGAATTGGGTATTGTTTGGATCTATTAGGCTTGGGCACCCAAACCCAACCCAAATAATAAACCAACCCAAACAATAACCAAAACCCTTGAGATCCCTCCTCCTCCTAGGACCCTGCCGCCGACTTCTTCTTCCTCGGGTTCTACCGCGCCGTCGCTGCCGGCAACATCACCCTCAGCGGCATCGCCAAGATCGACGGCCGCGGCGTCCTCAAGCTCACCAACGAGATGACCTATTTCTACCCTAGCCAGGCGACGGAGGATTTCATCCTTCTGCCGGAGACCACGCCGTCCAACCAGATCCGCGGCCATCGCGCCGCCGCCTCCGGAAATACCGCATCATCCCCGAGTTCTGCGCGGCGAAATCATCGACCGGCGACAACAACGCTGCCGCCGCCGTCTCTGTCCCTGGGAACTACCACCGCAAGCGGTCCAGAGACGCCATCGGCGACGACCTCTTGAGCGGCGATCGCTTCTCGGCGACTCACGATCCTCGCAAGATGACCAAGGCATCGCTGTCTCGGGGGAACGAATCAAGATGACCAAGGCGGCGGGACCGTCCTTAATCGGAGTCTTGAAATACAAGTCTACAATGTAATTTGAGTTATCTGTCACGTGAGGCTTCCCGTCTTCACTCAACCGTAGCTTTGCCTCACACCCTTCTTCATTGAACAACTCTTGAAGTCTCACCTATCAACATCAGAATTCCCAAATTGATCAGCTTCTCGCAACATCAAGAACTGAATAGTATCACGATGAACCCTGCTTTTCAGGAGCAAAATCCTCTGTCGATTTCAGTCTAAACTACAATTAACACAGAATTTCTATTCAAAAGCATTCTGAATACTTAAAAGGGTCTTGCTTTTGTGTGTTCAGTTTGACAAGTAACCAAAACTAGGGGTGTCAAAAGTACCCGCTCAAACATGACCCGACCCGAACCGACCCGACCCGACCCCGACCCGATTGTGCGGCTATATCATATTTGGGTCTTGTTTCGGATCGGGCCAAGCACATATATTCATTGTTTCGGATCGGGTCGGGTATCATGAAAACCCGACCCAACCCGTTGACACCCCTAATCATACTTGAGGGCACAGCTGAAGGGAATTGTTTAGAGTGAGAAGCCTTCGAAATGTTCTATTAATCAAATGAAAATATTTGGTACAAACGAGAGGAATAGCTCCTCTATTTATACAAGAGTCCATCTAATTACAACCATTGATTTCTATGTGATTTAATGGTAGATGATGCCAATCATCATCTAATCGATCCGACGGTAGAGATTCACTTAATTTAACGATGGAGGATATTGATCCTTATCACATTGATCCCATGATCCCACGATGGAGATTGAATCTATTCAACGATTGAGGGCATCAATCCTTGTTAAACAAATGCGATGATAGAGATCGAATGCCCTTTAATAATCTAACGGTTCTAAGGAATGTGGTGATCACGTGCCGAACTTTTGTCTGTGACACGGGGCGGTGGTTGGGGTTGTGGTAGCCAGCATTCAACAGGCTGACCGGCGGAACTACTGTTGTAACAAGTGTGGTTCGCGGCCAAGTATGCTCTGGTTGGTGGCAGGTTACGAATGCACAAACTTGGACGAGTTCGTGCCGCGGCGGCTCGTGAAGGTGCATCCAGCCCGAAACTAGATTGATGTCCGCATCAATGTGGCCACATGGTTTCAGGAGTCAGAGCTAGTTGGTCGCAGATCGCAGCGGTGGTTGCCTCGACCGGCCGTCGTATCGAAGGCTGGTTATAGGTGACTTCATTTTCTACAGGCTAACGGTAAGTTTGAAATTCTACCGTGACTTTACTCGTTTTCCTTAACTTTGCTTGATCTTGAATCTTACTTCTACGATACGTTCGGAAGGAGATGACAGTAAAGTAGTAGGAAAATTGTACAAAATTTCTAATTCTCTATCTTATCTGACTTAAGCATGGGATAATCCTCCTAAAGGGAAGCCTGGAAGGACCTCCTCTCTTCGTGGTGCGCAGAACTGTCCGACCCGAAGACACTCGACCCGCAAGGACCAGGCTCGGATCGCACATCATCAATTATTCATGTCGAACCATATCCGTTCACGGTTGCGATGGATGGATTTTTAAAGCAGCTTGCATTGCAAAATTTGGCAAAAGCTAAGATGAATAAATGGCGAAACTGCCGTGACCTGGACACTGAAGTATGTTGGAAAGAACACTGAGAGGGCTTATATCTGAGAACTGCCAAAAGTCCACATGCTTTCCGGTATCCTTCAGAAGTTCTTTTGAAGCAGAGGAACTGTTATCTGCATTTATCTTGATCTTGAAGCCCACTGGCTTTTACATTCAATTGTATTATTCAAGTTTCGACAGAGAAACAAAAGGCTCAGGACTCACCAGACCCGAGCAAGCCCGGTTGAGCACCGTTCCGCCATATAAATATTGACATTCTTAGGCAATATACATATTCTTTTCAAGTCAAATAAGACCCAATGAAGAATCCTAGCTCACCAACGCTGTCCTCGGAGTTTCCTGTATAGTTTAAAGTCTGACGGATGTATGTACAGGTAAGTGTTGCATCATGCACCCGATTATAATCTGTCTTCTATTTGGCCTACGTAAAACTTAGTTACGCGATGTTGATCGGTCTATGAATCCCTCAACATAAAACATCATCCTGTAACATGCTATTATAAGAGTGTCGCAACAGCAATTTCGAGTTAATAAACAATGAACTACTTATACTAGATGAACATACGTTTTTTTCTACACTTGCTTGGGTAGCTTAATGATTTTAATCCCCCTTGTCTGCAGAACTCTCATTTTAATTGGACAGATATACCTTCAATGTCACTTGAATGATCTAAAGCCTCAGTGGTCTGCTGCTTCTATGAATCATCAATCAGTTCCTTTTGACAGATGTCATAGAACTGGCTGGAGAATCAGATAGAACTTCACAGTTGGGCATTGACATGAGGCTGTTTCACATCCTAATCCTAATAATATCCTGGATGAGCATTTAGCTTGCAGACGAAGAAGATAAAGAGAAAAAGGGCACGAATTTAAAGCGCAATGGGCAATCAAAAGGCTCCTCGACAATGATTTCGAGCTCAAACATTGCAACTACATCAAAGACCCACATGAAAACCAATATACACTCTCATCTCAATTGTGAAGACACGGAGCATTTCCGTCATTCACAACGCACAAACAGGAGCATGAAAAGCACATTATCCTCACAAAAGCGAATCATCTGTCTCCCATGTGTCGATTAACAGATTCCAAAGTGAATATTTCGATTCTGTACATCATCAATCGGAATAAAAGTCAAGAGACTAATCTTTCCTTCATACCAACCTGGGAAGAGAGGCAAGACGATAGTCCGTCAAAAGCACATTCCAAAACCAAATTTGAGGAGCTATTGCCATAATTTCTTGCTTGATTAGAGCCAGAAGTGCAACATAGCCTGCCAAAAGAAACATATAGTTTATGATTCTGAGTCATGATGAGCAGAAGATCTGTCTGAAAGCTACTATTAAATCAAAGCTAAAGCAAGGCTAAAACCAACTTTGGATGCAGGTTTACAAATGGAAACATGCATAGATAAAGAAAAGTAAGAGAGGCCCGTACTTCCTTTAGGCTGAGAAGGGGCAAGTCGTAAAGTTGAGTGTCTTTCCTTTTGTTCTCACGCCTCATCTCACGCTGTATTGAATTCAGTTGTTCTCGTATCTCCTTCAGTAAGTTCATTTCCTCTTCATTTTCATGGACGATTTCTCGGCTTCTAGCATTCCTCTCTGTCTCGAGCCGTTCGATTCTTTCACTCAGCTGTTGAAACTCAGACCGATGTTTGGGTACCCTGGCTTTGTGGGCTTCCTGGAACCCATCACAGTCAGCACTCATCTTCCCTCTCAGTGTAGAGTTAGATGGCATCTTGTCATGGTTCAACGAAGGCAGCATTTTCATTATCCAGTCAGTTTGGTCAGTGACTAAATCCGGCTTCCCGAGCCTATTTTCGCCTTCAGATTCCTGCTCACTCCATTCTTTTACCTGAACATCATGACTTTTACAGCTCTCATCACTCTGCGGTACTTCAAAAATATCTTGAATACTTGTCGAACAAGCAGAGTTCTCAACCACTTCCGCCGTGTAGAGATTTTCACAATGGTTCATTTGATCAGACTTCGCATTGTCCCATTCACTCTTTGTATAGCATGGCGGTGCACTCACACGAGAAACAATGGCACAGGACCTAGACACGCCGATAGAGTAGTCATCATTATCTTGACCAATGTCCCTACATTCCGACATTTCATTCACACGATCCCCTAATCTTCTGATCTGCTCCCAAATTGGACTGAAATCCTCATTCAACGAATATTCCGATTTTCTCTCGAAATTCAAGCTCTCGCCTGTACCTTCCAGATCTGGATTCTCATCGACTATTCTCGAAACCACATCTAGATTAGGGAAAACAGGCTTTTGTCTTTTGATGACGCCTTTCTTTGGCATAGGATCCTTCAAGCAACCTGGAGGCAAAGAGCTCAGTCTCCTCACACCGCCATTCAACCCCTTCCCACCATTGGAGACATCTCCTCTTTGCATAAACAGATTATCCAGAAATCTACTTTCACTGGGTCCGAAATCAGCGTAACCCATGCCCAAAAGCTTATACCGATAAGTTTGGACTTGGAACTCAAGCGAAGCGATCTCCATCTCTTTCTGGTAAATAACATCCTCAAACACCTCCAGGGACAGGTCCGCATGACACATCTTCTCCTCGGCCATTCTCTTGTACTGATCGGCCTCCATCTTGACGGCCGCCTTTTCGCCCTGCAAGCGCAGTATCATCGATAAGGCTTCACTAGCCGCAGTAGCGGATGCTTCCCTCTCTTCATCCAATTCATTGTAGAGCTTCTGCAGGAGTTGCTGCTGAGCAAAGAGTGCTTCTCTGAGAGCAGAACCATCCGTTTCGGAACAAGAGCCAATCTCGGCCATGTTTAATGCGTTTTCAGCCTGGAATCGAGCCAACCCGCCTCTGAATTCGATAGAAAAGAAGAGATTTTCTTACTCGAACTAACAAGAAACCAGTGTCACAGGCTCAGTGACCAATCCCTCAGCCTGTAAAAAGACTTTCAACTATGTCTATCTACGCAGAACTACAGACGGACGGAACCCGAAATTTGCAGACCAATTTTCAAAGAAAATCACGTGAAAAACAAGACAACCAACCGCAGCAAAGTCCCGAAACTGAGAAAATTCAATGACGAGGGTGGACCATATTTCATACCGTCTTCCTTTCGCGGAGAGCTCCCTCCCCAAGCACCGGCTTTCCGCGCAAACACCGCCTTTCTTTCAAAGGAACGCAGACGAAGACGCAACACCCACGACGCTCATCTCCTCCGAGAACCCGAGGAATCCAAGAAACGCGGCCAAGAACCGCCCGTTAGGCCTCGTACAGGAACAAAAAGAGGCGAAGGGCACCCAAGAAAGAAAAGGCAGAGAGCCTGCAGATGGGGGAAAGATGGCGGGCTAAAAGGTTGACAAGAAGAGACGGCGAAAAGGGATGGATTCGGACGTTGGAAGATTCAGTCTTGCACGCATTAAAGCAGAGCCCCCAAAGTGGTTGCTTTTTGTCAAGAACAAGAACAAAGAAGACCAAGAACAAGAACAAGAAGAAGAAGATGGAGAAGATGGAGAAGAAGGAGATAGAGATGGAGATGGAGAAAAGTACAGGGCCTTTGCTTTGATTGCAAAGCAGGTTTTGTCAATGGAGGGAGGAGGGAGGGGCTCACGACTCTGGCACTCCTCAGGAAACCAACTCACTTTCCTTTTCAAGAAACGGTATTGGCGCTGAGATATGGGGGAATAATAATAACAAAGAAAAAAAAGACCCAAAAAATTTTAAAAAAAAAGAAAGAGCATGAAAAATGGATTTTGTGGTTAAAATAATAATAATTTTTTTCTAATTAACTTGCTAGCCAATCTGGGTGATAATTGGATTCGTTATGATTAGTTAATACCCTCGCTCAATCGCCATCCGAAAAATGAATTTTGTTACTTATTGTTCGATGATTATGGTAAAAAAAATAAAAAAGTTCGGTTTTTTATGAACTTGTCATCGTATATGGATAATACTCAGATTCATTATAGTTAGTTAATACCTCGCCCAATCACCACCGTCCGAAAAAAATGGATTTTATTTAATTATTGTTTGAAGATTCCGGTAAAAGAAACAACTTGATTTTTTTATTAAGTTGGTATCCCACCTAAATAACGATCGAATTCATTACTATTAGTTAATACCTTGCTTATAAAGAACCGCCGAGAGACTCGAAGATTTCATTTCCATCGTGTCGATTGTTATCAACTCGCAATCCGATTCGGGTTATTAATGCTAGCGCCCTTGCTCGGGGGAATTGGTCGGCGCTTTGACTGGCGGTCTTAACCGAGCGATGACGACCGTCCGGAAATTCTTTTGAGGAACCGAAGATTTTTCCATTTTCGATCGGTGTTTTTTTCATTTTGTCGAAAATGAACGCATTGGGAATTTCGTAATTTATGGAAAAAAAAGAAGAAGAAGCTAATTTGTTCATTTCCAGGTGAAATAAACCTGGCTTGATAAGAGCAAATTCAAGATTCCAATGGGCGATAAAATCCGAAAGGAATAAACCCTCTTTCTTGGTCTAATTTTGGAACATTTATCCTTTTTATCTGAGTTTTCCATCAGCGCTGGCATTGTCGTAATTAGCGTCCCTAAATCCCATGATTAACAACAACCAAAATTTTAATTACAGTTGGCCGCCGCCGCCGCCGCCCCCCTTTGCTCTTTCCCTCTTTTCGGATGGGCCTCGCGAGTTAATCCGATAAAAAATAAGGGGATAATGATACAAATGATCCCTAAAATTCGATTCAATATACAATATGTTCATCGAATTTTTGATTTGTTCAACGTGATCCATGAACTTTAGCTCAATGTGCAATGTGGCCCCTGAACTTTCAATTTTTTCGATACGGTCCTTAAACTTTTGATATATATTCAACTCAGACCTTGAACCATACGAAAATGTTAAATATTGACATTCCATTAATCCAAGTTCAGGGACAATCAAAGACTAAACTGAATATGTACCAGAAGCCCGATAATCACATTGAACGAATTGAAAATTCAAGGATCACACTGGGATCATTTTCCCCTAAAAATAAGTAAAATCGCGGCACGGGGCACGCGTGGCCCCCACACGTGCCTCTCTGTCGCCGCGAGGAGCGTCCTATCCATCATTTTGATTCCTCCTCCTCCACTCTTGTGTTTTTTTCTTTTTCTTTTTTCCGGCTTTTTCGTTTTTTTTTTGTGTGGGTCATATCTTTTTTTTCCGACTTTAAAAAGCAGTTATTATTACAAGCGCTTCCAACGGCTACTGATGGGGTCGCCCCCCGCGTGCGGAGCGGGGCCCACCCGCCGACCCGACCCTGGGTGGATCCGAAGAAAGTTCGGCGTGAGGAACGTGGCGGTCAACGAGCCAAATTGTCAACTGCGCTATGTTGATAAAATAAATTAGCAAACATACTTTTTTTTTTTTTTAAATTTAAAGAAACTTATTGAGGAAATAATCAGACTCGGTAAGAATTGGAAAACAAAAATTTCCGCCGAGGGCAATGATAGAATGAGTCGCAACAAATTAAAAAAAAAATTAATCTAAACAATTAGTTATTGGGTTTAATATCGATATTTATTCGTTTTCAATTTTACAAAAGTGTGATATTTCAATGTTCATTCTTTTTACCGCGATTTCGATTTGATGAGCTTAACGAAACACACGGACCGTAATGAAAGTTTTGGGTGAAGTTTTAAGGAAAAGCATTCGGGCCTATTTATTTTGTCTTTCTTTTAAAGTAAAAATGTTACTCATCTTTCCCGCCAAAATCTTAAAATGCCGATTCTCCGGAAAAGTTATGGTACCGTACGTTATTGCATATGTTATTATTTATTTGTTTCGAATTATCCAAGTTTAATCTATAATAATCTGCTAGCTGAGTTCGAGAGCCTGACCATTTGTACCGGCTCGGCTCGCCGAGCAAACATCACCGGTCGGAAACTCAACCTGACCACTCGATCCGGACCGAAACGGGTTGACCCGCATACACCATGTTGAAGTCGAACCGCCATGTACTATGGACCAAAAATAATAATAAATAAAGAGGAGAAAAACATCCGCTAATCTTCAGCTTCTGCCACGTGGCCCCTACATTTTGGGCTTAAAAATTTGGGCCACCGATTGGGCCTTGGGCCTTTCTCCCTCGTCCAAAGCCCATCGGCTGGCTTTTCCCCTGCGACATCGAGAAATCCCAAGATCCTTCAAGCTGTCCACGGCAATGGCGTGTCCATATATACACAAGCGGGACGACCGACCGGTCTGCTCCTAATTCCTCGTTCAGTGGGCAACCCAGTGTCTCGTACTTCCGCAGCACTCAATGATATGAAGTCCTTCTAGGTAATGCACGCGTTACCCATTTGCTAGATCGCTTCGAGGGCTTCGAATTTCGCTTCTTTTTCTGTTCTTCGGGATCTTTCGTCGTTCTTGGTTTCTTTCGCCAGGAAGAGAAAAGAAAAAACGAGTGGAATTCAATACGGTGAATTCGTTGATGCAGAGATGTTCGCTTTGGGCATCTGGGTTCTCGTGTGATTGTGCAGAAGTTCGGAGGCTAGAGTACGTTGCGTTCGTGGAAAGTGATCGCCCGATTGCTTTTGTGGGGCGGTGCAAAAATGGTACGCCTCCAGTTCTGATGTCTCCTAGTCGGGAATTCGTGTGAATTGTTTGATTGCAGAGTTTCTGGTTTTGTGCCTGTGATGTTTGAGTTGTTTCTGGGCCTGGGTTCATGCGCACTGAATGGGGTTGGTGTCTTCTAGCATGTGACGTGGATCCTGTAATTTCAGTTCTTTTTTTAATAATAATAACGAAAATTGAAGTTCAGCAGCATTGCTTTAACTTACATTTTTTAGAATATTACGAATTCCTATAATATTGTGCTTGGTTCATTAATAGTTGAACATGTCCTCCAGCCTCCTCGGTTGCCTTAATAGCTTAAAAACCCTCAGGAGCCATGGTTAGTTCTTCTTGTTTTAAAGTTTGTTTACTTCGTTCCTCGCTATTTATTTTCGCTGGATCTGCTGTTTTTGTTAGGACAGAGTTTGGCGGCTCAAAAGCTGAGAATATGGAGTTCATTGTGAATTGCATTTGTGGATGAATCTGAATTTGGTTGAAGTTGCGGAGTTCTGTCCATAAAACTGTTTGGGCCAGATGGGTATTCCCAAGTGAATTGATTCTTGTTGTTGTGCTGCATTCTTTTCGACAAACGATTAAGTTTGTTATTTCATTATGTCAAGAGCTTATCGTGTCAAATTAGATCCTTGAAAGGAAAAACTGTCTCTTATTATGCATAGGACAACAGAGTAAGCTCGTGTCAAATTAGATCCTTGAAAGGAAAAACTGTCTCTTATTATGCATAGGACAACAGAGTCAATGCAAATCGGCTGGACTTTGGCAGTTGTCTGTCAAATTATCTTCTATAGTCTCTTGAGGGAGGTAAAAAGCATTCCTGGAAAGAACAGAGTCAATGCAAAATGGCTGGAATTTGGCAGTTATCTATCGGAGTAGTATATCAGGATTTTTTGTTGAGTTTTACAAAACTTTGTTCTTCCAAAAACATACGAAATCTGTTCTTGTGAAAGAACAATTGCTGGAGTGTTGATGTCTTGAGGGAAATAGAGAGAAACTCATAAAAGTTGAGCCGGGGAACATGTTTCAAAGTATCAATATTGTGCTAGGAACATCAACCACAGAGAGAAGCTTTTCAATTTGAGGGTTTTTATTTGAGTTGCTCAAAAGACAAAGTAGGTGAATTGTAAGTTCGGTAGAAAAGTTCAGCGATGTAGTGATAAGGATTGGAGATAGGGAAGTTTGAAAAAGTGAGCAATAATTGGAGAAACTGATATTGGCTTTTCTTAAGAGGCGAGCAATTTGGATAAAGTGGAAAAACATATTAGTGGAATTTGAAGAAGTGAGCAATAATGGAGAAACTGATATTGGTTTTCCATGTGATACAAGCAATATGAATGAAGTGGAAAAGCATATTACATTTTACGGTGAAATGGAACATAAATTTAAGGAGAAAAGTTGTAAGAACTCTACTGGCAACGAAGCTTAATGGCCTGTCATGTCGCACGGTGAGCAACAGTATATATGCAAAATGAGTTTTGCAAAAATGAGAATGCCTGCTTGATGTTTGGGCACTGGAAAAAAGACAGAGATCAGAAATTAGCATATTTGAGGGCAACTTTATGTGAGTGTGACCGAAATGGAAATGAGAGAAGCTCACATATGAGGTGGTATAAACACATTCATTGGTAGCCTCTCGATGCGCCAGGGGCGAAGTGTGTTCTGTGATGAGGATCCTGGTTACCGAAGGAGGACCTGAAAGGTTGTAAAAGGAAACTTCGAAGCAAAATCTTGAATTATTGGATCTTGTGCAATGGAGTAAGAATATTAGCCTTTCCTGCTTTTCACCTTATTGATGAGAAAAGAGGGTTATCCCGTACATGAGATCAGTCCAACTGACTTTGGAAGTAAATTTTTTTTAATGGTTTTAGATCTGTCAATTTTATGCGCAAAATTTACCATACACAGACTACTGTCTAATAAAAGGCATTTGGAGACTTTTTCCTCAAAAATCATAGTAAATTGCAATTGCTCTATACTTATATTCCACTGCCACGTATTTTGCTGTTTAGATTGCAACTTTTGATACCTTAACTGCCTTTTACTTTGGTTCTGCTCTGCTTACACTGTAGTCCATCATGCAGAGTATGTACATTCGTGTTAAGCGGAGTAAGACGACTTACTTTATCCAGTGTGAACCAACTGAGACAATCCTTAATATCAAGGAGAAACTGCAAAACCTCATAGACCAACCTGCTAATGATCAATGTCTGATCTTGGTAGGGACTGGGGAAGTGCTGGAGGATTCAAAGTCACTAGCAGATCAAAAGGTACTAATTCTTCGTGTCAGTTGTTTCACTCGTCATTGCATCATATGAGTTGATTTTATGCTTAGATAGTCCAAGTTTTTCATAGCTAGCAGTACTGGTGAAATGTTTCTTTCTTCAGGCATCTCACTTATTCGATGATGTCTATTCAGGTTGAAAACGATGCTGTGGTTGCACTGACCTTGAGGAAAGGTTGTTTCTTGTTCTTGATTTTCTCTTACTATATCAACTTGTATGTTCTCTACCCTGCTATTTTGCAGTTTATGATTTTTGCAGCGCAGCAGCTCCTTTTTTATTTTTGGCTTGGAGATTTAGTTAAGTTTTTGCATCCAAGTTCATTCTTTCTTTCAGTGAGTGTTAAACAAGTATAGTCTCACCAGACATAAAATCAGCACGGAGGTAATGTGAGACGTACTTAAAGCTTTTGGGGATGAGGCGAAGTCAACCCTAAGTTTTACTATGCGATATTGTAGTCTGTAATTTCTTTTAGCTCCTTTTAGATCAGCATTTATTGAGGAGGGTGCTGTACGGTTTATAAAGAAGGGAAACGAGTAATCACACTGGTTGATTTTTCCTTTCTGATGGTTGGTGTTGCACCAATATCATTTGATTTATAATCTTGTTTGTGAATTTATGCAACATGTCTCTAACAAAAGGACACAAATGCAAAGCATGGAAAAATGCTGTGAGCCGTATATTTAAGGCTTTAAAAGCAGTTAAACTGGAGAGTCAATCTCTTTAAACTGGAGAGTCAATCTCTCTGCTTCATAAGAAATGACGTGTCATTAATGCTGAATGTTAAGTCTCAGTTTGCTTAAGTCGGCATTTGAGCCTATGCAGTTTAATTCTGTCCTAATTTGCTTAGAGTATAACAGTATAAGTAAATGTCATGGACCCTTCTTGAATTTTTTTATCCCCTCTGCATGTTAAATCTGCAAATTTCTAGCAAACCTTTTTTTAACTTATTGAAGTTCAACCAGAATTCAAATCTTGACATAGTTCTCAGCGGTTTTGCGGACTGCATGACTGCCAAGATCTTGTCACCACTGGGCCTGTTCTTTAGGATTATCTGGAAAAAACAACACCGATTAAGGCTAATCTTTTATTTTCCTCTTTTTTTTATCGTTTTAATTTATCTATCTGTTTAGCACGGGTTATGCTGCTTACACTGGTTTGTCACCATCTTCAGACTATTCAGCTCTATCTAATTACAAATATTTTCTGACCACGTTTGTTTCATTCCTTCCTTTAATTTGAATTCATGATGTCATTGTCTTAGTAATTTGTGTTCCATTTGATGTTGTTTCATTTGAGTGCTTATATGATAAAGCCCTTCTGGAGCCCAATTGAAAACTTGTGACAATCTTGTTGTGTCAATGAATGGTAATCAATGGACTTCCAAATGAGGTGTCTGCAGGCTTCTTACTGATTTGTTGTCATGAGCACTTCTACTTAGGATGCGAGTTTTATCGAGCATAGCATGACTTGGTAGTTGTATAAGTATAACTGGTTGATATTTCGCTGGAAGCCTGGCTTATTTTAGTTTAACCTCCAGAATTACTTTGTTATTCTGTAATTATTGGCTGCTTCAGTCGAGTTTTGCTCCCTTCTTAACCGTGGATGCATTTCGGACAATGATTTTTTTACGTCATCACTTTGGTGACTCATCGTTTCGTGGGCAGATGACAATGAGTTTGAGGAAGTGAACATTGTTCAGCCGAATGACTTTTGCCAATCTCTCGACGGAGATGGAAGCAAATGGTGAATGCAGTGGACACTCTCTTCTCTAAGTGCTGTATCAAAGTTTCCTCACTCATATGAGGAATTGTGATAACTTATTTTGAAAAGAGGAGCATGCGCTTGAGAGACCGAGGGATTCATAAGACGGTGAAGAATTGTTTGAAAGTTCGACATTTATTTGCTCATCGGCATGTCAGATAATCGCCGGTGGATAATCTTTAGTTCATTGGAGTTTTTTATTACTCTGCTTTCTGTTGTGGATCGCACGAGTTCTGTTTGGAGAATGCATGCACCATTGATATCAGTTCACCTCAACCTCCTTTTTTTCACTATATGCCGGGAAAAGAAACTGATGACTCTGTTAGAAAATGAAATGAGCTCAGTCAATCTTAAAGTGACAGTGTTTTAAGGCTCAATGGCTATGGTGGAGGACTTGGAGGAATGCTTACTACGCTAAAGGATCTGAGAATGCTTTAGTCATTTGAAGAAAGGGTTTTGGCTCAAAGTATATTATTTAAAAGCATTTCTGTTTTTGAAACACAATCTCACAAGTCAGATAACTTTTCAAATGCATCGTGCCGATTTATTATCGATCAAGCTTGGCTAGACTATTGACTTGTTAGATTATTTGGTTCGAACATCTCAAAAATCCGGCGTCTACTATTCGCTCTATTGGTTTGCTCTTGTATATTCGAGCGAAACGCCCTTTTGGACATCCAAGTGAGTTAACCATTGTTTTGCACTCTTGTTTATAACCCTGTTCATTTTTGGTTCATGAGAACCAAACTATGACTAGATATTCCCTCTTTCAATTCGCTTGTTCAGTAGAGATTGGACGAATATTAAGGACAATCTGCCTTGACATGGTTGACATTTTGGAGTTGCTGATCATATATAAAGAGTTGCACATGGTACACACATCAACCAAAGATGATGCAGAAGACTTCTTCCATAGAAACCAATTTTACGAAAACCATAGAATTATTTATCAAGGGATAAATGCACCGGAAGTTTTAAAATTTGTCAAGAAAGTACAATTGAGTCTTATAATTTATACTTTTCTTCTAATTGAGCATGTTGGATGACGATAGGAAGGACTCTAAGTGTAGTGACGTTGCGAGGTTTGGGACTTTAATGCACGAAATGAAAATTTTAGAACTTTAAATACATAAAATTTGACAAGTTTTAGGACTTGCCTTTTCTGATAAGTAAAAAGTTGGAGAAGAATGAGCTAACTCTAATGAGGTTTACTATAAGGATCTCACACACGTTAAGAAATATTTAATTTGAGCTATATCTACTCATTCTATCCACAAGTGTATGGTTCCTTTCGCTCGGATTGCAGCACTAGATCTTAAGCCATCTTAAATCATTGCCCACGAAAATTTTTACACATAAATTATTATCGATAATGGTAATATTTTCTATTGACTAATTACTTCAAGCAATACAAGCTATCATTTTTAGACAAATGTTTTTTAATTGTTTCATTTTTCGCGAAACAAACGGGGCCTTAATCCACACGAAACAGATTGTTAATCAGCCTCACGCCTCCTGCGTAATCTCCTGCTTAGCGCGGACATTATTCTTAGTGTTGAAATATAAGCCAAATGATTCAATTTTTTTAGGGCAAATTGTCCCAATTTCCTTGAATTTTTAGTTAAAAAATCTTGCTACAAAATTATCCTACCTCAAAAAAAAAAAAATTTAAGTGAAACAGGAACTCATGGATTTCCTTTTCTTTTTCCACTAAAACATGGATCATGGAGCCAAAGAAAAACCTCCCTTATCCCCTCACCTCTGCAACTGAGAACACCATCTCTTCTCTCTCTCTCTCTCTCTCTAGCCATGGCGCTTGCTCCCACCAAGCTCCTTCCTTTCGCCCTCGCCCACCGCTCGCTCCCCACGAGCTTCCCCTATCCCCGCCGCCCCGGGCTCCCCTATCCCTGTCGCCAGACGCTCCGGACCCTCTGCGCCAAGAGGACCGGCAAGCAGCGGTACCCTTCCGAGAAGAAGAAGCTCAAGCTCCGGCTCCGGCGGGAGCGAGCCCCCGGCGGCGGCGTCGTCAAGGACAAGTTCGAGGGCACCTGGAGGCTGTCGAAGCTCGCCGTCCCCGTCCGCGACGACCCCGGCAAGGATTTCCTCGGCGTCTCCGATGGGTTGCTCCAGGAAATCGCCAAAGTCCTCGAGTTTCCGGTGAAACTTATTGTGATCCTTTCTCTTCTTGTTTTGTAATGGTTTTCTGGGGTTTCTTTAGTTCGGTTCTGTTGGATTGTTGGGCGTGATGATCGAGTGGGAATGGGTCGATTTTAGGATTGGTGTTCATCCAAAGTTCGGAATTTTGAAAATGCTTCGTTTCGATATTCATTGTAGAGCCGAATTTGTGCTGGTTGGGAGGCCATTTTACTTCAGTGACTGAGACTTTTTTTTAATGTTAAAAGGTCGCTTCGATGTTGCCAGCCGAAGCTTTTTGCGTGGTGAGGAAATCATTTGATGCGAGAAAGGTACGTGTGTGACAGTGAAGTTGTTGGTCTTGAATTGTTCCATAACATATGTCAAGTACAATATGGTAATATGGCATTCGAGAGTCTTTTATAACATATGTGCATGCGTATGTGTATGTGTGGCATCTGGTTTGTGTTGGAATCTCCCTGCCACTCTCCTCATTTGAGGATCATTTTCCGCTTTTAACTCGTTCTCGATGCATTTCATAAGTTGCTGTCTGGAAAGACCCATTCTTTTGAGGATCACAAGAAGATTGTTTGCTTATTGGAAAAGACATTACAGTTATAGAATGCTAATGAATATACCATTATGTTAAGATACCAAGAAAGTGCACCAACAGACCAGGAAATGGTTCTTAAAGATGGATGAGTCAGCTGTTCAATCATTCTACAGAATCAGAAGATGCCAACTTGAAAAGGAAAAAGAAAACATTATTGTGAATCGAACTGACGGTGCTATCTCTGTGGTCAGTCCTGTTCTGTTACTCTAGCTTTAGGTATCGTTTGAATGACAGTAGCCTGGGACTACTGAATTGAAGAATAAGCTTTTCAAGTTGCATTGTTTGCCGTTTAGAGTAAGAGTTACCAATCAATGACTGCATTGAGCCGTGCACTATGCAATGCTGTAAAGCCGAACTTTATAATTGCTTAATATTTATTGACCACTTCTCCTTTTTTTTGGTCCCAGATGCTAAAGGAGCCCAAATTTGTATATACAGTGGATATGGATGCAAATAAGCTTCTGCACCTAGAGCCTCGTACATGGGACTTTATTTCTCGGTTGGAGCCCAAAGTTGGGATAGTAGAACAAATGCTAAGTAAAAAGGATTCAGGAAATTTGATCAGCATGATACATGATTGTAAGAAGACGCATGAAGCTACATTGTCAAGAGAGAGCGATAATGACCTTAACGCTGGATCTAGTAGACAATGCACATACAATTCCGTAAAAGTACCTAAAATTGCTGTGGTGGGTAGTGGGCCATCTGGTCTCTTTGCTTCTCTTGTGCTCGCTGAACTTGGTGCAGATGTTACTTTAATTGAAAGAGGCCAGCCTGTTGAGCAAAGGGGGCGTGACATTGGTGCTCTCGTAGTGCGTCGGATGTTACAGCTAGATAGCAACTTTTGCTTTGGAGAGGTTAACCTTTTGTCCATCGCATTGTTCTATAGTATGATTTATGAGGCTATATTTTTATGAGCAAAGCAGTTATTTGTTTCAGACTCGCTTTTTCTTGTCTAGAAGTTCATTATTATTTTTTCTACGTTTTGATAGTTTGCCTAATTTACTAGATCTAAACAATGTAAAAAGAAGAAAAAATCATTGTCTTAAAGAATTGTCATTTTGTGTAAAAATTAAATTTTATCGAGGACTCTTTTTTCTATATTTCTCTTGATGGGATGCTCATGTTTTTAACACTTATCAATTTATACGGCCTAAATAGGGTGTAGTTTTGCAGAGAACATGACCTTTTTGTCCTATCTACCATTTTAAAATTGTTTTTGGCTGCTGAGATTCTTATATTAGTTTTTATGGTCCATATCTACTGTCTGCTGTTAGAGTCATTTATGCGAGGACTTATGCATGGCAGGGTGGTGCAGGTACCTGGAGTGATGGAAAATTGGTAACTAGAATTGGAAAGAACAGTGAGAGTGTATTGGCGGTAATGATCCGTGACCTTATTTCCTCTGTGAAACATGTGCATTCATACACAATATTTTCATAAATCGTTGTGTTATAGCTCATCACTCCTTCCTTGTAATTCACCAGTGGCCTTCTTTTGTCAGAAAACCCCTAATTTGGATGTTAAATGGTGCATCTTCACCCTCTTATTGACTCTTTAACCTTTCCCTTCCAATTACCTTATCACTAGGGGAATAGGATGGCCGCAATGACCGGAATGTAGTACCTGCTTATCTAGATCATAGTTCTTCTCTGGAAGCACAATTGCAGGCTCTCATACCATTTTGATGTTGCCTTTTCCTTATATGAGTTTAGGCAACAGATGCATAGTCAAGTCTTAGTGCAGTGCTTTTTAGTCTTTATCTTTCAATTAGGTCTCCCTATGTCACTGAACTGAACTAATGTATTTTGATGAAAGCTGCTCCTTCACTAAGAGAAACTTGAGGACTTCGTGATTGACAGTATGATGCTGAGGCAGCCTAAAAAGAAAACCTTAAATCAAGTGCTAGAGTTGGTGTGACTGTTTTCATTGCAAGGTAATAGTGAGGTCAACTCAGAGAGAGTCTTTGGTAAATTTCATTCTTCTATAATGGTGGAGTGGAAGAGCAGCTCGGCGGAATTTTCTCTGTTTATCTAAAGTTAAATACGCGTCTCTCACATTTTTTTTAGCCCGTGGGAGAAATATTGGTCGATATAAAAGGTTGTTGACTGTGTAATAGTTTATTAGAAGGCGGTGAAAATTTAAATCTTTCCTTCTTTTTTTTATTTTCTTCCAGTTAAAGGATATTTGTTTGCCCAGATGCAGAGTTTACAACAGTTTTGTATATTTTCTACTTATAAAATAATAAATATTAAAATCTATTTTCTCAAAATAAGAGTGATGTAATTATAACACCACACTTGCGTTTCTTTGTTTTTGTTTGCAAGCTTTATTGGGGTGGGACTTAAAACTTCAATCTTCATATCACTTCTTTTGAGCTAATTGCTCTAGTGTACTCTATTATGCTGAGCATTGCATTATTAATGTGGGAGAAATAAGTTTAGGGAATTTTGGCTA